TTTTTCCTGATGGGAATCGAGACATTTTAAGCAGCTGCTTTACAAGAAGGAATAAAAGACTTTTAAACTTTGATTGTGCCTTCCTGCACGGCAGGGGGTTGGACTGGATGGCCTTTGAGGTCTCTTCCAACTCTATGATTCTATGAAAAGTTGAGCCTCTTCACATTACGTATATGACCTCTTTAATATATGGCTGTTGTGTAGCTGTTAAACAGGACTGTGACCCTGCTGGCAGAATAAAACACACACTTGCTGGCATTTATAACAGCAGTCACCTGATATACAGTATCTTCCTCATAGTCATACTAACAGGCCCTCATGGCAGGAAGACGTGAGAAGAGAGCAATGTTCAGGTGACATCACATCATGGTCAATAAAATTTCCTAGAACAATTATAAGTTCATGTACGTGTACAGAGAATGACGTAACAATGTATGTTGGTATGTGAGAAAGATAGTAAACTTTAGTCTTTCACAACCCTTGAACAGGACAAGACCCAGTCGATGACCACTATTTCTTCAAGCTGGGAAAAGCTTCACCTGACCAATTTCCGCTTGTCACATTATGAAGGTAGAATGAGGGCAGCAATACAAATAAGAGAAAAACTGTCTACTCCTGGGCTTTTACAATTATAATTAGTTTGACATTTAAAAGGAAACTACAAAGAGGGGAAAGAAGGGGAAAATATCTATCTGCAAGCTCCTTGGAACACACATACCAAACAACAAGATAGCCACTACTCTGCTCCTACAGCTCTCTCACTCAATCTCTCCAGGCACTTTGGCAGTGAGAACTGGGCCTATTCTGCTGCGTAGAGATAAGATGCAGGCAGCCACTTCTACCCACCCCATATCTCTATCTTGGTGTAGAAGGCTAGTTCAGAAAGGTGTAGCCGCCTGAGTGATGGGGCAATAGGGATTGATTCCAGTGAGCTAGTCTTCCCAACAATATGAACTAGAAAGAAAGGTCAAAGAAGCATGAAGACATTGGCCATTTCTTCAAAAAAATGACTAGCTTTTACCTTTTGCTTACTTCCTCCGGCTGAATTGGCCCCACGAGGCCTCCTCCTTCCTCTTCCAAGGACAAAGGAAACAAAACGCAAACAGGTAGAGCCTTCCAAAGGAAGTCACTCCCTACCCTTGCTGCAAAAAAGGAATGTGTAGTGATGTGTGACGGTTAGCATGGTGGCTGAAGAAAGTGCAAGCAGCTGCCTGTGCCCACCTGCATACCCCTCTTCCTCTTGCCCGAACTGTATAAAGCTGTGCTACTCAAAGTGGTGGTCTGTGGACAGATACCACCAGTACATGAATTATTGGCAGATGGTCTATGGCAGTGGTTCTCAACCTTCCTAATGCTGTGACCCCTTAATACAGTTCCTCATGTTGTGGTGACCCCCAGCTATAAAATTATTTTTGTTGCTACTTCATAACTGTAATTTTGCTGTATTGTCGAAGGCTTTCATGGCTGGAATCACTCAGTTCTTGTGGGTTTTTTCGGGCTATATGGCCATGTTCTAGAGGCATTTCTCCTAGGGAGAAATGCCTCTAGAACATGGCCATATAGCCCGAAAAAACCCACAAGAACTGTGTAATTTTGCTGCTGTTGTGGGTCATAATGTAAATATTTGATATGCAGGATGCATTTTCATTCACTGGACCAAATTGGCAGAAATACCCAATATGCCCAAATTTGAATACTGGTGGGGTTGTGGGGAGGGGTTGATTTTGTCATTTGGGAGCGGTAGTTGCTGGGATTTATAGTTCACCTACAATCAAAAAGCATTCTGAACTCCACCAATGATGGAATTGAACCAAACTTCCCACACAGGACCCCCATGACCAACAGAAAATACAGGATGGGTTTGGTGGGCATTGACCTTGAGTTTTGGAGTTGTAGTTCACCTACATCCAGAGAGCACTGTGGACTCAAACAATGATGGATCTAAACCAAACGTGGCACGAATACTCAATATGCCCAAATATGAACACTGGTGGTGTTTGTGGAAAATAGACCTTGACATTTGGATGTTGCAGTTGCTCGGATTTATAGTTCACCTACAATCAAAGAGCATTCTGAACCCCACCAATGATAGAATTTGGACAAACTTCCCACAAAGAACCCCCATGACCAACACAAAATCCTGTGTTTTCTGATGGTCTTTGGTGACCCCTCTGATACCCCTCTCATGACCCCCAGGTTGAGAAACACTGGTCTATGGCAATTTGAGAGAGAGAGAGAGAATAGTCAATGAGAAGGTGTATATCACAGTGGAAACAAAACCTGCTGGTTCCTCGCATCAGATAGGTTAAGTAGAACTTGTGTAGAGGGTTAGTCATGGAAAGACCAGTCACCTCACCTTCTCTCTCATTTGCACTGAATGTTAAATTAGTGAGGCTGGATTTAATAAGCCCAAAGGAATTAATATGAATCCTCCCCATCATGCTTCCCAATCAGGAGGGCTGAGTGAATAAGCAATATTCCCTAAGGAGGCAACAACTGGTTCCATACCACACCCAGCCAAAGGATTGTTGCTGAGACGAAGTAGCAATTGGAATTCCTCCCCTCCTTCAAGGTATCAGTAGGTACACCCAAAGTCCAGCAAGCATATATGCCTCTCTGCAGAAACAACAACATGCAAATAACAACAATTTGGTAGCCTTTGATGACATATCTCAAATTTCTACCACTGAACAGCAATAACAATACAATAATAATAGTGTTTTTTGGCGATACTCTTCAGCTCTTGCACTTTCCCTGCCTGGAGGGCCTCTTAAAAAACTGGTAAGAACGAACCAGTTTAGTCCAACGAATGGCAGCCAGGTTGCTAACAGGAGCAGCTCTCGGAGCATACAACTCGCTTGTTGCGCCAGCTCCACTGGCTACCGGTTTGCTACCAGGCCCTATTCAAAGTGCTGGCTTTGGCCTATAAAGCCCTAAACGGTTGTGGCCCAATCTACCTGTCCAAACACATCTCCCCTTATGAACCATCGAGGACGTTAAGATCATCTGGGGAGGTCCTGCTCTTGGTCCCGCCGTTGTCACAAGTATTGTTGGTGGGGAAGAGCCTTCTCAGCAGTGGCCCCTCGGCTATGAAACGCCCTCCCCAAGGAAATTAGATCAGCTTCTTTGCTCCTAATGTTTCGGAAAAAACTCAAGACATGGCTGCAAATATTGAGTAATGGACATAGGAAAACGGAACAACTATATGATGGAATTGGACAATGTTTTTATTGAGGATATGCTGACTTATGTTTTTACTGCTGTTGTTATGATTTTATTGATGTTAATGTTTTTAAATTGTTCTTGTATTTTGTGGCATTGAATTTTGCCTTGTAAACTGCCTTGAGTTTCCGCAAGGCTGAGAGGGGCGGTATACAAATAAAGTAAATAAATAGTAAATAAAAATTGTGCACTCTGTCTTATATCGTTGAACTGCAACTCTCAACACTCCTGACCATTCATTATACTGGATAGGACTGCTAAGAGTTGCAGTCCAAGACCTTCTGGAGCGTTGCACAATTCCCACCCTTGCCCTATAATGTATATGTACCACACTATTTTCTTGCTTTAACAATCATGGCCTCGTCCAAAGGAATGGGGCTTTACTCCTGAGAAGTTAGGGGGGAAATGCTGATAAAGCAATTGGGTATCAGCAGCTTGGTCTATTCCTTTCCTTTCTCTCACCAGCATGCACTGGATTTCCCTGGATTTGACCTAATCTTGCGACTCTGTCTCAGATCACATCTTCAGCAACTCACAGGGGAAAAGAGGAGATAAGTCTCCAAACACTATTCTTTGAGACAAGCCCAATGCATCCAGTATATCTATATCACTGCTTCTCAAACTGTGATCCTCCAGGTGTTCTGGACTTCAACTCCCAGAAATCCCAGCCAGATCACCAGCTGTTAGGAATTGTGGGAGCTGAAGTCCAAAACACCTGGAGGAGAACAGTTTGAGAACCACCCATCTATATAATTCAGATGACTACCTAGAAAAAACGGGAATACTTGCTAAAGTGAAGAACAGTAATTATAGGAAAGGAGATTCCACCTGAACATTAGGAAGAACTTCCTAACTACATGAGGTGTTCAACAGTGGAACTCACTGCCTTGGAGTGTGGTGGAATATCTTTTATACAGAGGCTTGATGGCCATCTGTCAGGGGTACCTTAATTGCGTGTGAAAAAGATCTCAGAGTCCTTGTGGACAAGTTAAACAGGAGCCAACAATGTCATGTAGCAACAAAAAAGCCAATGGGATTTTGGCCTGCATCAATAGGAGTATAGTGTCTAGATCCAGGGAAGTCATGCTACCCCTCTATTCTGCCTTGATCAGACCACATCTGGAATATTCTGCGCACTGTAATTGAAGGGAAATGTTGACAAGCTGGAATGTGTCCAGAGGAGGGCAACTAAAATGATCAAGGGTTTGGAGAACACACCCTATGAGGAGCAGCTTAAAGAGCTGGGCATATTTAGCCTTCAAAAAAGAAGGCTGAGAAGGTGACATGATAGCCATGTATAAATATGTGAGAGGAAGTCATAGGGAGGAGGGAGCAAGCTTGTTTTTTGCTTCCCTGGAGACTAGGATGCGGAAGAATGGCTTCAAAGTACAGGAAAGGAGATTCCACCTGAACATTAGGAAAAACTTCCTGACTGTGAGAGCTGTTCAGCAGTGGAACTCTCTGCCTCGAGGTGTGGTGGAGGCTCCTTCTTGGGAGGCTTTTCAGCAGAAGCTGGATGGCCATCTGTCGGGGGTTCTTTGAAGGCTGTATAAAAACAAAACATTAATAACAGGGCGACTCATTGTGACTACAATAGCTAGTCAATCACAACAAAGTACTTTCTGCCCAGCTTCCTCCTCCCAGGAAGTGCGCCAGGCCCTCTCCCCAAAAGTGGGCCGCCCTCCCTCTCTCCCTCCCTCCCTCCCTCTGTCTCGCGCCTCCTTCCTTCCCTCAAGGCCGCCTGTCCTCTTTCAGGGCCGGAAGTCAACGCAGGCGGCGGCGCGAGAAGCAGCAACAGCAGGAGCAGCAGCAGCAGCAGCAGCAGCAGCCCAGAGCCAGAGAGGCGGGGAAGAGGCCGGCGGAGAAGGAACTTTCTCCCCCGGGAAAGCCATGGCTCCTCCGGCGCGCTGAGGTGAGGAGGGGCAGGGCAAGGGAAAGCAAAGCCAAGGAGGGGGAGAGGGGGGAAGCGGGCTTGGCGGCGGCGTCTTCTTCACCCCAGCAGGGCCACCCCCCTCCAACTGCCCCCATCCCCAGGCCTTCTTCGCTCGCAGCCAGACCCACCATCCTCCCGCATTGTATTCTTATTTACTCCCGGTTTGGAGCCCAAAAGGAGCGAGGGCCCGTTGAGGAGGAGGAACAGCCTGGCTCCACTTCTGGAAAAGAAGGAGGCCTTGGATGGATGGAGGAGAGGAAAGGAGAGGAGAGGGAAGAGAAGCAGGCCGCTTTGGTCTCGGCAGAGGGCCAGGCCTCCTCCCTCCACAGCCTTCTAGGTCGGGATGTTTATATATACATACACTCATAAATATATGTATTATATGTATATATACACACACAATACATACATACATATACACTCAGACAAATATATGCATCATATATATTTACATATACACATACATATAAACTCAGACAAATATATGTATGTATGTATATATATATATATACACACACATATATACACACATAAATATATGCATCATATATATACCACACATATTTATACATATATATACTCACACAAATATGTGCACCATGTATATACACACACACATATATATACATACATACATACATACATATAAATACACACAAATATATTTATTATATAAATATACACCCACAGTTAGATATATATACACATACACTCATAAATATATGCGTCATATATATACACACAACACACATATACATATATACATATACACTCACAAATACATGCATCACACGCACACATATACATATATATTGCTTATGTTTTTAATTTGCTTGCATTGTATTGTTATTGTCTGTTGTTGTTTGAGGCCTTGGCCTTTGTAAGCCGCATCGAGTCCTTCGGGAGATGCTAGCGGGGTACAAATAAAGTTTAATAATAATTAAGAATAATATATACTCATGCAAATATATGTATCATATATACACATATACACATACATATATATACACTCACACAAATATATGTATCATATATATACACATACATACATATACACTCACAGATGTACATACATATACACTCACAAATATATCATATATATATATACACTCACAAATATATGCATCACACAAACATATGCATCACATATATGTACACAATCACCGGACACACACACATATATACATACATATATACTCACACAAATATATGTTTCATATATACACACACACAAATACAATAGACCAGACATGGGCAAACTTGGGTCCTCCAGGTGTGTTGGACTTTAACTTCCACAATTCCTAACTGGCTGTTAGGAATTGTGGGAGTTGTAGTCCAAAACACCTGGAGGACCCAAGTTTGCCCATGCCTGCAGTAGATCCATGAGGATAGGTAGATACCAGATGTATCTTGTTTCTGTTTGCTTGGGAGTTTCTCTTAAAAACAGGCCTAACTAATACTATATCCCGTGCCATACACTCTGTCTTGACTTGATATTCGTATTGAAATTTTGCAATTAAAAGCAAATAAAGGCAAACTTAACATAATATAGTTTTAACGTATTATTAAAAAACAGCTTTGTGAATATTTATTTATTTCAACCCCGCTCTATCTCGCCCCAGGGGGGGACTCAGAGCGGCTTCCGGTATTGGAAAATATTCAATGCCACATAGAAACATAAAAGCGTACACATACACAACACATTAACATTTAAAATCAAAATAAAACATACACAGTAAATACAATTAAAAAGCTGAGTTGCTGTGAGTTTTCCAGGCTGGCCATGTTCCAGAAGCAGTCTCTCCTGACCTTTCACCCACATCTATGGCAGTCATCCTCAGAGGTTGAAGGTCTGAGAATGCTTCTGAAACATGGCCATACAGCCCGGAAAACTCATAGCAACTCAGTGATTCTGTCAATGAAACCCTTCAACAACAAATTAAAAAACTGTAGAAAACATGGCACCTAATCCTGCAAACAGTATTATTTCTTCGGTTTTTTGTTTGTTTGTTTGTTTTTGCTGTTTGCTTGAGCCATGGCAGTTGAAGTAGTGTCAAACTGCATCCATTCTACAGTGTAGATCAGGCTTTGGCAAACTTCGGCCCTCCAGATGTTTTGGACCAACTCCCACAATTATTAACAGCCACCTGGAGCTGTACACAAACAAATTTGCCCACGCCTGGTGTAGATGTACTCAGTACCTCAGCCACCCATATGGACAATATTGGATTTTGGAGCATTTTGGAATTCCAGATAAAAGATGTTCAAGCAGGACACACACAGATTGGAAGACAGAAACTAGCTGAATATCTGAGGTAGATTTGGGGTGTATGTAGCACAGCCTAAACAATTTGATATGAGCATCCATGCCCATTTTGATAGTAGCTGTAAAAATTGCTGTTGAGTCATTGATGTGACAAAACCTCGTTAGCAGTAATTAGTTATGGTAAGAACCACTGTTGTGCATGGGTTTCTATGGTGAAGGCTCTTGGGTATCACAGGTATTCAAAAAACAGCTCTTGTGGCAAGTGTTTACACAACTTGCGAGACTTTCATTTCACCAGTATTGTTGCATGGATACAAGTTGAGCATCCCCAATTCGGACTTCTGAAATCCTTCAAAATCTAAAATTGTTCAATTGCGTGGCTAATAGTAACACCTTTGTTTTCTGATGGTTTAGTGTACATAAACTTTGTTTGACACACAAACTTATTTAAAATATTGTTTATATCATGTATAGACTTCATTCCCATCTTCAAGATAGCTTATTGTGTATGTGTATACATACAGAGATATTTGAAAATCTGAAAAAACTCTATTCCCAAGCATTTCAGATAAAGGATACACAATATGTAATATTAAAACTAAAATTCAGCATGTTTAATGTCCCCATGAGTGAGAACTGTGTTTGAACTCTTCAATTTATTTACATTTTTATGCTGGTGGCATTTGATTTTGAAAAATCAAAATTTTCCTTATAAAATTTGAGAAGTTAGCTTATCTTGATGGTTGAAAGCTTACTTTTTCTTGTTAGTGTTTGACTCTTGTGTGCTTTTTAAACCTGATGTTTAAAATTTATATTTTAGTCTGCTTTTGGATTGTGCAGTCAGTCTGTAATATGAGGCAACTAGCAATTCATTTGACAGCTCATACTTACTATTCTATTGATGTTGAAGATAAAGTTTTAAAAAAATGCAAGCTTGTGTTCTTGTGCAATTGCCTATTCTACTACAAATACCCACCCAGCCCCCAGTTTCCGGGCAAAAATTGTCATAGTTTCGAAACTACAGACTTAAGAAAAATGACATGGGTGCAAGTGGAAGAAAGAAAATAGTTAGCCAGTGTGCTTGCGTTTGATGCTAACATTTGATCATTAAAAGCTTTCTTTTCAAAGGCTCGTTAGGCAGTATACAGAAAAAATCACATAACAGTAGTAGTGTTCTGCCTTAGGGAAATGCCACAAGAACAGTTCTCCAGTGTGCATTTTATTTGGAATAATTAACAAGAATTGAAACAAAATTTAATGGAATGCATTGCTTTTATATATTTATATATATATATATATATATATATATATATATATATATATATATATATATATTGTTCAGTACACCCTAAGGAGCAAATGTAGAGGGGAAAAAGAAAGCATTAATTGAATAAAAAATCTAATATGAGTGAGAATCTCTTTCATTAGTTCAAAACATGACATCCTTGAACTCTCTAGGAATCAAGTACAGTAGAGTCTCACTTATCCAACATAAACTGGCCGGCAGAATGTTGGATAAGCAAAAATGTTGGATAATAAGGAGGGATTAAGGAAAAAAACTATTAAACATCAAATTATGTTATGATTTTACAAATTAAGCACCAAACCATCATGTTTTACAACAAGTCAAGAGAAAAAGCAGTTCAATACATGGTAACGTTATGTAGTAATTATTGAATTTACGAATTTAGCACCAAAACATAGCAATGTATTGAAACAGCTGTGGATTTGGGCGAGAGGCAGACTGCGTTGGATAATACAGAATGTTGGATAAACAAAACCCTACTGTATATGTGCTTTCAGATTGCCTGTTGATTAATGGTTACCTCAGTGTTTCTCAGACTATGATCCTCTGGGTATTTTGGTCTTCAGTTCCCAGAAATCCCAGCCAGTTTACCAGCATTTAGGAATTGTAGGAGCTGAAGTCCAAAATACCTGGAGGAGCACTTTTTGAGAAACACTGGGTTTCATATAGTTTTCTTAGCAAAGAACACTAAGGTCCTAGCTATATTGACTAGTAATGCAGTTTCAAACTGATATTAAAGAAAGTGGTTTCACTATGCAGGTGACTACATAGGAAATCCTGGAATGAGTTTGAGGCCTGGATGGGGATTACATAAACCACAGAGATCTGATATGCATTAAGGGCTTTCTTTTGCAAACTTTTGTGGGAGTTCTTTGTCAGGCCACTACAGTTTGAGGCTAGTTTCAAACTGCATTAAATGGTCACTGTAGATAAGGCCTCTGGTTTTGCTAGTTCCTTCCTCTAAAATATAACTTACAGCACCTGGTATTGTTGGTGGCCTCCCATCTAGATACTAACCAGGGCTATCTCTACATAACTTCCACCATCAAACAGACACTGGTGCCTTTCAAACACTCAGGCTACCTAGGAATCAAGGCATAGCTACAAACTCCTTCCTGATTTGCATTTCCCAGTTTCTTGTCTTTATGGCTTTGTATGCCATGTTGAGCATGGAGAAGAGAACAATACTAGTTGAATGATTTTATACCTGCACTTAAGGAAAATAATGAGGAATTAATATTTTTCTTGCTATTTGTCTGTTTTATACTGTATATTCCAAATATTATCCTGGCTGTTTTCCCCTACAGAATTTTTCCTCCACCCACCACATTCCACTGTCCTTTGTGGCTCGCTTTTCTGTAATTCTGCATATGTAATTATTTTCACTTTGTGCAACACAAGTGAGGA